TTATATACAATTGTTAGATTTATTAAATACATTTTATTGCAAAGATTATTATTTTATAAATGTGGATATGAAAGCAGCGGGTTTGCTCTAAATTAAGTTATGCACAAGCCGATAGAGATGCAAATCGACTCATCGACTCTATTGATTTATCGGTTTTTATTACAAGATGGTCGAGCTGTTTTTGCATCTCTATAGCCAATCAAAAAATAGATGACTATCAGCCAATCAAATAACTTAAAGAAAATGGATGATCATCGGCCAATCAAATGGATTTTTAACTATGCTAGACTTTCCACTTTAGACGACCCCTAATTTGGTAATGTGCTTTATCATATTTCAAGTAACAAAATGCCAAAGTAATTATCAAGCAAACTCTAAATCAATAAAAGATAAAAAAGAGTCAGACAAGATGCAAAGATATATGAAATTATTCCATATATTGCTTCAGAGATCTGTATATTTGCACCAGATATTTATTGGCAATGATTCTTGGTTGACTGACTGTAGTTTCATTTATTCTTATATGGTAGAGAATGTTTTGCAATTGGAAAACGGGCTGTTGTGTGCCAAGACACCGAAATGAAAGGCGAAATTGATATAGGTAAAGCTTATTGGTATTTCGTTGTAGTTGAATCGTTTTTATCACTAACTCTTTACAATATACATTTATAGGCTCAGGTATTTTTAAGATGTTTTGCACCTCTTATCTCCAGAATCGAACAGTTTTAAAGTTGTTTTTTACTCAGGAACTGTCTTGCACCCCCAATGTAAGATCCTTGCGGAGTCAGGCCCGATTATTATCGGTTCAAACAATATCATAGAAGAAAATGTGACGATTATAAACAAGTATCATATTTTTAGACATTTTATTCTATACAAAAAATATTCATGATATTTACATCAAAAATTATTCTAGACAACCGACACCTTTAATTATTGGTGACGAAAATGTCTTTGAAGTTGGATGCTGTAATTTTTTGTTTTTTTTTTTTTTTAAATTATTTTTCTATTTTGAATTTCTTCTTATGGATGAATAAATTTTCAGATGTGGAAGGATCCAAAATTGGGAATAAAAATATCATAGAAGCAAAAGGTATGTCCATAATCTATAATCACTGTTTTTATGTTGGATATATGATTAATTTGCCAATTTTGCTAATGTGAAAATTTAAAAAGCGAGAATTTTGGGGACTACATCATTAGGTGACAATTGCGTTATTGGTGCTGTTTGCTCAACCAAGAAGGATGAAGTAATTCCCAATAATACTATTATATACGGTGATCATCATAATCGGAGAACTCAGACAGCATCCGGAAGCGTAGGTTTTTAATTTATAGTGTACTTTGTGATCCTAAACCTTCTTTCTTTTTTTCGAAAGGTTTTGATTTTCAAAATTTATCGCTGCTTTCATAAATCCTGGAACAACAGAAAAATTTACAAATAATCTTTCGGGCGATGATCGTTACAAACTTTTTATCAGTTGTTCCAGAATTTATGAGAACGTAGGTTTCAAATATAATTTGGACTTCGGAAAACCTAAACCTGAACCATATTACGGATTTCGCGATTAGTATTCCCGAAACCATATTAGGGTTTCGGAGTATTTCATGAAATCATATTATAGGTTTCGGATTAGTATTTCCCGAAACCAATTCCGTTTTGGGTCACATGTTCACACGTACAATTTATAGCGACACTTTATTCTATTCAAATGATCAATATGGAATATTTCTTTTGCCATTGAAATTTAAAAATCCGACAGCAACAATCAACCTTACATAGTCGCCACTTGGATTATCTTCGTGAGGTAAGCCCTTGTCAGAAAAATTTAATTCAAATCGGTTCATTTTAATAATTATTTAACGGTAATTTAATTATATGCTAGTAGTTACCGAAATTTAATCATGTTCGGGTAAGACGTTCAACATTTATTGTAAACTAGCCTAGATTATATTTTATTTTTTTCTTTACAATAATTACTTTTTTCATTTAGATTGGTGGTGCTAATACATCATCCGAATCATCGGCAACCGGTAATCACTCGAAAAAAGCCAAAGAAAAAGAATCGTCTCACTAGATTTTTTTTTTACAAGAACTTGTAAGTTTCATAGGTTTTGTAATTTATTTATTGTACCATTTAACAACTATAGAATAAATCGACAATAATGGACAACCATCTTATTCAAAATCTGCCATTCAATCATGTAAAATTTTTTTTTTTTTTACTGTTCGTCCAACTCAAAGCACAAATTTGCTTCCTGGATGCTTTCGAAACATGTCGTTCTTACGACTCTGAAGAAGATAACATCTGACGGGAATGTATCAATAATTTTATATCTTTAATATAATAAAATGCAGATCTATTTTTATATTCCTTAAAGCATAAGACTTTAAAACCATTTAAGTTTCAAAGCTTGGCAACGGATTGACATAAATCATGGATTTGATTTGTTCTTGGTCCAAGGATATGTCACAAACAATGTAAACATTAATGAAACATTGTGAACCGATATGATTCACCAAATGCGTGGGAAAGTTTTTACGCATCACGCGTATCGCACTTAATAATTCGTGTCGCGCGCATGATATGAATGTGAACTGAAAATCTATATTTTGAATATCTCTCTCAAAAAATAACCGTCGATTGCGTTGTGATACGGGACCGGTGATTGTCTTTACCGTAGCGATGATATGATGTTTTCGATGTTAATTATTTAATTGTGCAACATATGTGACGCTTGCATGATTATGCGCAGACGACTTTTGCTTAATATGTTATGTACATACGTAATTTACGCTTGGACATACCATATGTACGTGAAAAAAAAAATGCGTAAAATGAAAGAAAAAAATCCGTAGAGATAGTTAGTTCCGATAAACATACATCCATATTATGCGTGATGTATTCATCACGCATAAGCATTTACTTCTAGACTTTACAGAATTCTCCACATGGTACGAGATCTGTAATAATAATAAAAATACATACTTCTACATCTTTGTTTATTTACCAATAGTATCACGGTTTTAGTCAGCGCTGGTAACAGAAATATCAGGTCGAGATTAGTGTGACATCTACAACACGTTTACATAAACCAGTATTTTGTGGAGTGTCTATCATAAAAAATTTACAAGCAAACTTTTCTCTTCAAATGTCAACATTTTGATGGAGTCTTTTACAGATACTTTGAAGTTGTGCCTTGAATACTTTTGGTGTGGCTTTAAAGACGCTTTCGCTTGGCCTTCTGGCTTGATCACTATTTACGGGTAAATCGCTTCGGCATTTTATTTGCTTATTCTGCTTTCTAAATGTATGTTTCTCTCCATTCATGCCTGATTTATATTAGATCGCAAACGATCAAAAATCGTACCCTAAGATGTTTTATACTTAATGGAGTGATCTTTTTAGGAAGCATATTTTTTTTCAATCACGTTACTTTACCTACTTTACATTTTTTCCTTGGAAAGTCTTTCTTTGCACTAAATTACAGAGGAAATGGAAACGATATTGGAGATGCCTTAGACGTCAAATCACCTTTAATTACAAAGATTTTGGATACTATAGTGGCTTTAACTTATCAAGTACTATTTAAAAAATTTTAATGTTTATATACTTTATTTGATTTTTTCAAATTTTTCAAATTTCCCTTTTTAGCTATTATGGGTCTATCCAATATTTATACTAAGCTTCGTATTGAATGCTATGTGGTATCAAGAAATAGCTGATAGAGCTTTTAGAATGTATTATGGTCCACCTATAAATTCTCGTCGAACATATCCTAGGTTAGTTCTTTTTTTTGTGTTCAATTTGTAATTTTACAACTTTTTAATTATATGTTTATTTCTTTACAGGGCATTAAAAGTTATGGCTGATGAAATCTATCGTGCATTATTATTCATGAATTATTTGATAGTGGCAACTTTAGTGTATGTCATACCTGTCATCGGTCCAATTATATCATTCATGTATTTTTGTTGGATATATGCTTATTATAGTTTCGAGTATGTATCTTTTTAATTATATCAACTATTGTAAATCTTTATTTAAATCTACATTATATTATTATTTCTTATAGGTACAAATGGATTAATCAAGGTTGGTCTTTGGAACAACGTATAGGATATTTTGAAGAAAGGTGGTCTTATTTTGCCGGATTTGGTAATACTTGTTCGTTGTCAATGTGATGTTTATATTATTAGAAAATCTTCATTAACATAACTTCTTCAGGCTTCTTATTTACCGTGATAACGTTCTTTGTTGATCAATTTTTGAGTGCTGGTGTGTTCGCACTTTTCTTTCCTCTTGTAAGTATTTTACTTTACTATTTTTCAAATTTTCAAAGCCAATATTTCATAAATTTATTTCCAATTCTTTATCAAGTATATAATTATGGCTACTAATGCAATTCCTATGCCGAGGCATGACGAACGTTCTCGCTTTTCATCATTAGTACCATATCGATTGCGAATATTTTGGGTAGCAAAGAAGTTGAATGATAAAATAATCGGTAGTCTACATCGGGGACAAAGGCGTCTATCTTTTAATAGAGAAAATCACAAGAAAAATAAAAATGACAAATAGAAGAACACTAATATTGTATAACTTGGATAATAATTGATTATTACTCCATATTTTAATAGAACATAATTCAATAACTTTATACTTTTAAAAAAGAACAATGGTGGTTATTGGGTTACCTGAGTTGGGGGGTTTTTTTTTAATTCCTAATTTTAAAGGGTGCATCAAAGCTGCGATAGGGAACATGATTAACAAGAAGCGAAGATAGCGATTAGAGGTAATAAAAGATTGTGTTATAATAAAGCAATAGTTGTGAGGTATCTCATTAATAAACATTACCACAATTATCAAATTTTATTAAATAATTTAAATAATTAATACAGAGTTTATTATTATTTTACTACTATCATTATTATATTATTTGTTATTAATCAAATCCCTCCGTATTAAATTCCTAATTTCTAGATTAATTGATTTTTTGCTTTTAAACATAATACTAACGTTGCGAATATTTCTATAATGGTAGAGTCCTCACCATCAGTAAAGTTCATCGAATCCATGGTGCGGAGAATATTCCGAATCAAACTTGCAATTTTGCTCTGTCATTATTTAAATTATTCAAATTGGTAAGTCTATCAAGGTAACTATTGATTTCATTCAAAAGAGTCCTGAATCTCCTGAATCATTGTTTCATCCCTCATTTGTTTTAAAAAAGGAATTAAATTAGTCCCACCAGTACCCTTAATTTCAATGGATTTGGTGGTAGTGGTTTTTACTTTTGTAGTGTTAGTAGTTATTATTTCTTTAGTTGTTACTACATCTATGTGCCAATAACAAGTATTAATAAATTTTGTAATTTTCATTACAAGTATTAATAGTATAAATTAGTAAATATTAATGAACATTTGAGTTAGTATAATAATCTCACATTACCTTTATTTATTGACGAATAATACATGGAATTAGAGTGCGAGCCGCTATTATTTCGACGCTCTTGTATCACAATATATATACTAACAAGTTGTAAGTGTTTGCTTCGGAAATTTTTCATTTGATTTAGACATTCATTATACGCTTGAACCATTTCGTTTGTTCCTGGAAGCATTTCCATGTCTTCATCGGGTGAAGAAGCGGTGATACTAGAATCATAACCCATCTGTGAAATGATATAATCACGAATATTTGCAACCTTTGCAAGATCTTCGAGAAATTTCCTGTGACGACCAGTCATACTTTGACGAATTTTGTAAAGATAAGGTTGTTGTAATTTGATATTATTCTCATCAGGCGAATATTGTTCTGTTGTATCATTATTATTAAATTTGGAATCAAATCGAAAACAACTGTTTCCAGAAGTATAGTTTTTCATGGGACAATGTCCATTAATTTGTGGTTTTACTCCTGTAGGATAGTGTTCAATATTCAGAGCAATATCCAATGCCTGGATTAATGCGCTCTGACCAGCACTAGCCCCTACATATCGACGATAAATCGGATTTCCATTTTCATCGTTGCCATCCACACCTTCATATATCAATCCACGCGGTAAGCGATCTTCATTTTCCCATCCATTTAAGTATGGTCGTACCATCCAATAAAAAACGTATGGATCACATTTTTCATGCATCCTTTGCAGAGTGGCATTAATGTCAACAATGGTAGAGTTTATGTCCCTTAATGCGACTGTCAAGTTTTGGTTATTTCCAACCTTAATAGCATGAATAGCAGACATTATTGCAGTAAGGGCCCTTCCACCAAATCCTTCTATGGCAGTTGTAACAAGATAAAACCATGATTCATCCAAAGTATTCGAAAAGGTGAATAATGTAGCAAGATTACTAAATACAGACAGATCAAAAAAATTTAAATAAAAGATATTAGACATTTTCGTGATATTTTAAATGAAAAAATATAAACGTATAATAAATAAAATGAATTTGGATATTAACTTTAGATCAAACGGCTTATCTGGAAAAATCAACCGCCAATTCCATAATACAACTGCAGCATGGTTTACAACTGGGGAAATACCCAGATAATCGGATACCTTGACCCATGGTTTTGCAATACAAGCAGGTAATCTCTGGGTAGTTGAAATATGATTGGTAAAGGAAAGAAAAAGGAGGAAAAAAGGAAAACTCAAAAAATTTCACCCACATCTGAGACTTCATCAAATTTGTCCCATACATATCCATGAGCTAAGGAAGATAGGACCAAAAAAGCGCGATGATATTCTGCTAGAGTTTTAAGGAAATTGGTATCCAAGACCGATAACTAAATTTGCATATAAGTAATCGTTAATATATACAGTTTAGTTGTACAAGATCGCACTATGTAAGTGTAACTAGGTGTTGTTCTTTTGTTGTATTGTGCAGCTACAAAGGGTAAAAACAAATCAAAAGTGGTCTAAATCCTACCTTGTTGATCGAGGATCTCAAACGTCCTGCTAACATTAAAACATGAAAATTGTCGAGTAATACTTCCCAAGGCTCATAATAGCTGGGCAATCGCCGTAGAGGCGGTGTTGAAGGAAGAAAGCCAGTCACAGGGCTTATATCGTAGTCTTCTAACGTAGATTCCATTAGAATATTGATTATTTATTTTTGAATATTTTCGTGAATACTCACATTTAAACAGATTGTGTAATGTCTATGTAGTGGTAACGATAACGATAACCTTGCAGATAGAAGTTTGTTTTTATTGGTTGATCAGCAAATTTCTGAATTTACCATTTACAATTCACATGCAGTACTTTGTGTACCGGTGAGACAATAGAATTTTAGCCATCTTTTTTTACAAATAGAAGAATGAGTAAAGGCTTTTTTAATA